CAACAAATCTATTAATTTATTAATTAATAAAAATATGTGTTACAGAGACATATGTTCTTTTCACTTGCATTACATTTTTCACTATTTAACAGTAAATAATTTTAATTATTGAGAATAAATGAATTTTGGATTTCTTAATATATAGATTATAGATTTTAAAAAAATTTAATTTTTCCACATTTCTTGTATCGCTTGTCACTTTACCTTTTTCCATTTTAATAAGCGTTTCAATCATGACTATTAAATTCTGACTACTAAATTCTGAATACTAAATTCTGTCACCTGTATTTGTTATGCATGGTCGATGACGACGACATTTTTCAAGTGAACATATTTTACCTGCCGTACTTTACTTCGTGCGAGCTCGCCGTTTGCCCTCAAATATTCCGTTCGTGGCTACACGGGGCGTCATTCTGAACATGAAATGTTTTATCTACTACAAGGAACTTCGTTCCAGTCTGCTACATAGCGGTCACCGCTGTGTCGGACAAAATTTGCATGATAAAGCGAATTAATTTTTTTGCCGCGGGGTGAAATTAAAGTGGACGCTATGTCGTAATAAAAGAAGTTTCGCAGGGCGAAAAAAAAAAGAAGAAATATTTGTATCGTGCATATATGAAATTTTAATATCGTTACCTTGCAGTTTCGCTCTTTTCTACGCGTGCACGTTATCAAGCTCTGATTTGCACAAAAATATCTATTGTTATTACGAAAATTTCAATTAAATCATTTGCATTTATGTTTTTGAATTCTAATTATTCTCTGGCATTTAATTGGGACTTTTATACGAGATAATAAACATTCTTATTTTATTGTTACTCAAATGTCAACGTCATTATTGTAAAACGTCATCAATTTCATTAACTACGCTAAGAGCGAACGTGCATTTAAACTAAATGTCGGAGTACTTTATATCATATGATGTGAACAAAGTAATTAATCGTATTCGAACCGTATTTTACCGTAGGCTATATAAATATAACAAATAATGACAAAAATTAGAGTCAGTTTAAAAAAAAGAGAAGAAAAATTAATATGATTTTGAATTAGGATAAAGGCGTTAATCTTAATGCATTTCGCGTAACTTATTATCATAAAGATCTTAGAAGTACATATTCAGACACGTGTTTAATTTGTCAGGCGTCAAATAACATTCGAATGTAATGGTACTGTTTGGCAAACTTGTACAAGAGGTCCCGTTAGTTAATGTGCTTCCACGTTGGATACATTTAAGCTGTAATTATGTAAAGTCATGTGCAATTATAAATCGCGGTCGATGAGATGATGTCGTGGTTAAGAAAACGATAGCGATTTTGATGTTTTGGCTCGGTGGGCGGAACCATGGATTCCGTATGCGCTGTATTCCAAGTATCGACCCGTCAAAGGCAGCTTCCAGCGACCTCACCCCATAGCTGCCATCTACCCTCTCGTCACGATGTTGAAACACGAAGTTGGTATCTTCGAGTCTCTCTCTCTCTC